AGGTAATTCAGAGGTTCAAACAGATGAAGGAGTGAAGAAGAGAAAGACAAGGCAACCAAGAAAGTGAAAAGTGTTGCCATACAAGAACAAACTAGGTTTTTTTATGTTGGAATTTTTGCTAGTGGCTGGAATTTTTTGTGAATGTTGGCAACAGCTAGGAACTATTTTTTTGCTTAGCTAGGAACTGTTATTTTGCTCCCAATTGGATTTGTAAGTTATTAGGAACTGTTATTTTGCTATTGGCTGGATATCCTTTTGGGAACATGCTAGCTTGTTAGGGTTTTTTTATTGTTATTTCCAGTTGAACTCCTAGATGTTAGCTTTGGTTGCCAATATATGGAACATGCTTGTTATTTGGTTACCAAGAAAGTGAAATATATTGCTACTTTAGTTGCCTATTTGGATATTGGAATACATTTTTGCCTATTCATTGATTACTAGGTTCAATTATGTGGGGATATGCATTTTTACATTTTGGATTGCATCTGATGCAATTGTTCATAATTTAGCCGCCAAAACCCATAAAGAAATAAGAATTCAAAAAAAAAAAAAAATTGGCAGGAAAGTTTTGAAATTTGAAATTTTTGCCACGTGACACTTTTTGCTAGTTGGCATGACGTGGCAGATGGATATCCATGTGTGCAAGTTTTGGAGGGAGTGGGCTGACGTGTAACAGGGTCCACTAATGCCACGTCAACATTTAACAGATCAATGGATGGAAAATCTAACGGAACTATTATTTTGAAATAAAATAGTACGTGAGGTATGAAAGTGAAATGTTTTAAAGATGTTGTATGAGGTTGTAATAGACCTTAAACTTGAATGAGTACCATGTAATTTACCCTTTATTAAAGAATTATAAGAGAGATTATCTTAATTATTTAATTTACTGGGTACCATTTGACTTGAAAATAAGTTTAGTGCCTAGCTTTTTAAAGTCTGCCATTAAAGTTATAGATTTTTTGGCCCTAATTATCGAATAACGTCACTTAGTACTACAGTTTAGTTTAATGATATTCTTCTTCATTTGTAAGTGAGAGGTTTTAGGTTCGATTCTCGCTAAAGTCGAATTTAAACCATATTATTGTTAGACCATTGTGAGGCTAAACCTCTTTCATTTAATGTAAATACTACTATTTGTTCAAAAAAAATAAACAAAAATTATCGCACAACGCATAAACTACAATATATTTGTTTTCTAAATTATAATGGTTGGCTGAAGAAGTTTTGTTTAATATATATTCAACGATAAATTATCCTTTGATGCATTTTACCTTTCCACTTCAAGTTCTTTGATTTGGTTCCGGTTGATTCGTAAGAAAACTTATGTCTTGATCAGTACTTCTGATTGAGAACTTAATCTGCTCACAGGCTTCATGAGTCGAGAGCAAGGAAGAAAATATCGGTAATATCGGTAGTCCGAAAACACGGAAATATCGGAATAATATCGATATCGATAAAAATTATATGGAAACCACGGAAATTGTAAGAAAAACTTGGAAATTTTTATTGAAACTTTGCAGGATATTTATTTAGTTAATTATCTATTCATTTATCACAAAAAATTGGAAGGAAATGCATTGCATGATGGATTTAACATTATCAAGTTGATTATATAGCGAGCTGACAAACATTGTGAGTGTAGAAAATATGTAGTAATTAATGAAAGAAGTCTAAACACACCATAATCATTTATATATAAAGAAGAAAAAGGACAAAGATCACCTGGATTCGAACTAAAAACCTGGTGCTATTGAAGAGAAACACGGCCCAACACGTCCAAGTTCACACTTGTGTCAAAGTGCAGCGACAACTACAATATATGCTGATGCAGCAGCTTCCTGTTTGAATTGAAAAACCCTAGCAGCTGCTACATCTTTTGCCCTTGCCTCGAGCCCAGAGCCTCAAAAGGCTCTCTATCTCTCCGTAGCAGATCATCCCTTTCAACAGACAAGGCTGGCCACATGCCATGCATCCATGTAGTGAATTTCTTAGGATTCTAAATCAAAGGCTAAAATAAATCCCAATTTGCCCATCTCTCTCTAGAAAATCTGAAAAGGCTTTTAATCTCTCCATTGTTTCTCAGTTTCGCACCCCTTTTCAACCAAGAGCCAAGCAACATAGATACCATGTGGCTCTACCTCAAATCGGTCATCCCCATCAGCGCTCTCTACTTCCTTTCCCTCTGCTCCTCCCTCGCCTTCCTCCTCGTTGAGCCCGTCACCATGTCCCGCGACCTCTACCTCTCCTCCGTCGTCCCCATCGGCGCTCTCTACTCCCTCTCCCTCTGGCTCTCCAACTCCGCCTACATCTTCCTCTTCGTCTCCTTCATCCAGATGCTCAAGGCCCTCATGCTCGTCGCCGTCTACTCCATCGGCGTCGCCTTCAAGCAATGTCGCGATAATATCGCTAATATCGCAATATTATCGATATTATCTCGATATTTTGACGAAAACCTATCGGATATGTGTAGAAATATCGGACTCCCCAAAAAACGATAATATCGGCGAAATATCGCCGATATTATCGATTTTTTATACCTTGGTCGAGAGATCATTCTTTAATCATTGAAGAATGTATGAATTTATTTAACAAAAAATAAAATAAGGACTCTAATACTAATTATACCGAGGCTTTGTAATGCGAATGAGGATCCTCTTCAGATCCTCATATCATGTCCGTTCATCGTATATCGTGTGGTCAGAAATTATTTTAAATTAAATATGAATAGTAGCTGACAAAAATTGGCCGCACGATATACAATGAACGGATACGATTTGAGGATCCCAGATCTTCGGGATGATGATCCACAGATCTTTTGTAATAATCGTACGATGTATGATGAATGGAAACGATTCACAGATCTTCGGGATCCTCAAAAAGAGGATCAGGTGATGATCGAGATTCGTAATACAACTCAACACTGAAGTGCTAGTATGTGATTAAAAGCAAGTTACTGATAGCATCACTTAATTAGTGGTTTGTACTACGTAATTATTGTCCAAATTTCTTTTGGTGGGGACTATCTGGCTGAATAAACTTCCGTACTAAGAGCAAGCTATCCACCCATTTTAAGAGGGTAAAGTTAAGGCAGGGCTAGGGCAGTGAATTGTCCTTACTATTCACTATGAACAATCCATACCATTTATGAAGGGCAAGAGCTCCATTCACAAATATAATTTTTATGCTTTGTAAGCTTGCCCTATGAAAACAAAACAATTGTCTAATTTCAATAATTTATTTCAAATGCAAGGCAAAAGTATAGTATTACAACCCGCCAAAGATATTGAAATATTACTATTCTTAGTAGTTCGGAATGTGCTTCACAACGAATGGCACTATTTTGTATTTCGGAGTATGTTTTCACAACGTTTCAACATTCATGCTTTATGAAATTTGTTGTTGTCAAAATTGAACCGCGTTTGTTCTTGTAGTTGCTGAAAAAAGAATTGTGAAACATTTGAAATATACTAAAAATGAAATGTAATTACCTCATTTGATAGATTATTGCCACTTCGATAAATTGCTTCCTATTTTGTGACAGCTTCTTGCTAAGATTTCAACTTCTTATGTAGATCTTTGTACCTACGTAATAGAGATTGCTTGGTCCTGAATGTGCCTTGAATTTGCTTGACAAATTGTGCATGAATCTTCATCCATATTTGTTGCACCATCATCTCATTTCTTGTGACGGGGTCATGAGCAACACACACCCAACACTTAAGCAAAGTTGCATCTTTCCCGATTGACCAATTTGCTGTCTTACTCATTTTTTGTAGTAACAAAAGGATTTGGGAAGCAGAAACAAATATATGAGATTTTAGTATTGAGTTGTGGTGTGGGGAAAGAAGAAAATGTTTGGGTATTTATAGAAAAAAATTGAGTGTTTTTTTGGAGTTTTTTTACCGTTAGAGAATAATTCTGACAATTGGTTTTCAAAATTAGTACCGTTGGATGCCCTTGATTGCACCACATGGCATCTGCATTATTTATTTATTTTGCAAATTTTAAAAGGAAAACTAATGAAAATGGCTTGAAAACTTTAAGTTTTAACGATAAGAACAAAATAAAGGGTAAGGTGAATAGTACCAAGATTGACTTTTTAGTGTAAAATGTGGTTTTTCGTTAAAGTGAACAGTACCAGGAGCTTTTCGTTAAAGTCCCAAAAAAAAAACCATAGAAAATTCCCCAGATCCATTCTCTCCAAAAGATCTTTCACTCTTGCTCTCTTATTTTCTCTCCACCCGTGTTCAACCCTCTTAATGTTTTCTAACTCATCAAGCTTATGCATGCCTTTACTTCTATAAACAGAAGCCTTGAGTAAGTCACCTTTCATATCCACCAAGCAGACATGCATTTACTGCATACTGAAGACTTGCTTCAACACACAGCCACTTCACTATTACGTACATAGCTGTGATAGTAAATCTATGTCATGTATTCACACAGGTAAGTCAAACATAGCTGCTGCCTTCTCCTTGTAGCAATCCAATCTTGTCGTTACTTTGAAGACTTGCACCGTTACGCGCCATAACACCAACACAAGTTGGTCTTCAATTGTTGTAACACATGACACATGATATATGCGCCAATCCCAGCACAAATTGAAGCCCAACTGTCAAAGTAAAGAACAACAAAGCTCAAAATCACACGACAGCACCAGTAAAAAGGAAACTGAAAGAAAAAATAAATCAGAGAAAATATTTGAAACTTGATGCAGACTCTGAATGCAACAGTGAGCACAGTAAAATGTGCGTCATGATGCCAGTAACTAATGCCGGTAACTAAAAACATATTCCTGGAGTAAGAATATTTAGAATGTGTAGAAACTGACAGAGCCAAAGCACTTTATCCAAACATCTATATCTATATATTCTCTCAAGTACAGATGACACTTTTTAGTTTAAACCCTAATGCAAGCAAGGTAGCAGCTGCACACTCCCTTTTTTTTCTTTCCCCATTTTATTACGTCAAGTAATTACTATATAAACCCTATCTAGCAAATACCAAATGCAACCAACACATTGAAGCCATTGCCGGTCTTCTTCCATCCCCTCATCGCTTAGAAATCCCGACCTTCGGTAATGGCACTGATACCTCTCAATAAGGGTGTCAACCCAACAAGCAGAGACGGCGGCCGTAATCGCGCTCCTCTGCTTCAAGATGGGCGCGACGGACATCGTCAGTATTCGACAACAGCTGATGATAATGCATTGATCAACCAAATTATGCTGACTGATAAATCTCATGACCATCCCTACGAAGTGCCTTCTCTTGCAGTCACACATTCTTCAAACCATTGAGGCCATTCTTTCACGCTTCACGAAACCTGACATCCATGATGGCACTCTAGTCCCGGTCTGTCCATGCTTAATTTTGTCACTGAATTATTATGTACAGAGAATCTTTAGCTGCTGCTAATTTAGTTTCTTTACTGTGTTGCTCATCGATTATTTTGTTTCGATGTTTGTGTGTGAATTAGGGAGCATTAGTACCAGCAGCTATACATGCGGATTCTTTGGAGCATGAGAAGGCCCTCCATGCTAACCTGAGTACCCTCCACGACAGCTTCGATGTTCCAAACACCGTGTTCAATGCAATTCAATGCGAGGTTTGCCTCTACATGTATACTTATTTTCCAATTGTGACGCAACATTATTCGTAAGTGCTATTTAAACCGACAGTTTAATAATATAACGAACTTGTCAACTTTGTTGATTGATGTAATGGGAGACAGTTAATGTCCAAATCGCTGCAAAGGGAAGATGCAAACAAGACCGCAATGGACATACTAGACATTGTGCAACACTACGATTGGGATGAAAAGGTGGTGCTTGCCTTGGGAGCATTTGCGATCAAAGATGGCGAGTTTTGGCTCCTGGCTCAGCAATACACCACCAACCCACTCGCCAAAGCAGTTGGACAGCTTAAGCAACTGCACGAGATCTTGGAACGTGCGGGGACTAGTTTGAAACCGAAGTTTGATGCATACAACAATCTGGTTAGGGTCATATTCAAAGTGACCAGGACCATTGTTCACTTACAGGAGATTCACAACGACCCCCATTTGAGCCCCGAAGTCAAAGCTACAGCTGCCACTGCTCATATCCCAACAGCTGTTTACTGGACAATTCGGGCTATTATAGTTGCTGCATCACAACTTCTGGGCATCACAGGCTCCGAGCCAGAGTAAGTTGTTTTGTGGTTTGCTCTAATTTTTCAAGTAGAAAACTGTGTCTACCTTCTCAAGTAACTATATGCTGTATCAGGTACGTGACAGAGGCGTGGGAACTATCATCGCTGGCCCATAAGCTCGAAAACATATTCAATCACCTTGAAGAGATCCTCGACAGATTACATCAACTTATCCGTGCGTCTTAACCTAAAATAGATAGAGAGTACTAATACTGATCAGGCTTCTCCTGTATAACTTGTTTATGTATAACTAAATAATGGTTATGTGATGCAGAGAAGAACAAAGACGAGGATGCTTTCAATGCAATTGCACGCATCTTGGAAACACCACACATTGATAACTCGAAGCCTCTGAAGGTTTTGTTTTACAAGGATGATCAGCCTGCACTCTATGATTGCTACAACAAGAAGAGGGTTGGCTTTAAAATCTCACTTTCTTTTCTCTTCTAGGAGCCACTATGTTTTGAATGTCTGACTCCCCCAATTAATTGAAATTTTTTTTTCTGATATACAGGTTGACATTGATGTGCTAAAAAGGAAAGTAGTGATTTTGTTCATCACAGACCTAGACGTTATCCACGAAAACGAGTACATGATTGTCCAACAAATGTACTTGGAAAACAACACAACCCTACAAGGCCGGAGAGCCAGTACGAGGTTGTGTGGCTTCCAATTACAGATGTGTGGACTGACGCCAAGTACCAGCAATTCGAGATGCTAAGAAATAACATAGAATGGTACACCGTGTTCCACCCTTCGGTGGTGTCTCCGATTATGGTGAGGTACATCAGGGACCCGAGGAAGTGGAATTTTGCCAAGAAGCCTCTGCTTGTTGTGATGGATCCTCAAGGCAAAATTGTGCACAAGAATGCTGTTCACATGATGTGCATTTGGGGAAGCATTGCCTTCCCTTTCACTAGCCAGAAAGAGAGAATGCTTTGGGAAGAAGAAACATGGAGGATTGAGCTTTTGGCTGATGCCCTAGATCAAAACTTATATACTTGGGTACGCACTATTCTATCGTATTTGCATCTTATATTGCCAAACTGTGAATATGAACCCGTTGTTTAAGATATTTCTTTTTAGAATGTGCTATCGAGATTCTTAAATGTGTGATTTTTGCATGAATTTCAGATCACGGATAGGAAGTACATTTGTTTGTATGGCGGAGAAGACATCGAGTGGATCCGAAACTTCACAAAGGCAGCGAGAAATGTGGCTCGTGAAGCCGGGATTCAGTTGGAATTGCTTTATGTGGGGAAGAGCAAGGCTAAGGAGAAAGTGGTGAAGAACATCATCAGCATCATTCAAGCTGAGAAGCTAAGCCACACCCTTGAGGTGAACCTCATTTGGTTCTTCTGGATTCGTCTCGAGAGCATGTGGCAGTCCAAAGGACAAATCCTAAGCGAGCAAAGCAGAACCCAAACTGATCATTTGAAAAGCGATCGTATAATGCAGGGGATCATATCGATGCTGAGCTTTGGCTCGAGCGACCGCGGATGGGCAGTGATCGCCCTTGGCTCAGCAGACATGTCCAAGGCCAACGGGGAGCACATGTTGAGAAGCTTGAGGGAGTACAACAACTGGAAAATAAGGCCAACTGAAATAGGGTTTACACCGGCACTGAATGAATACCTAGAAGGGGTGCATAAACAGGCTCCACACCACTGCACTAATCTTATTTTGCCTGCAACCGGAATCATGCCTGAGACAGTTGCCTGCGCTGAGTGCGGCCGTCTCATGGAGAGGTTCTCCATGTTCCGCTGCTGCACCGATTGAGCTTGAGCTCGACAGGCACCCGTCAGATTTTTATATACATTTGAATTTCGTAATTATATGCTGCTGCTACTTCGACACTATGAAAATAAATGTGACATCAAAAGGTCCATATCATCTATGGTCATTAGGGAGCCTTGTTGATGTGAATCTGGAACTTGTTACTATGCAATAAAGCAATATCTGCATCTTCCCTTTTGATAGTTTTGTTTTTGGTATTGTACGCCGATTATCACACTCCCGTTATTTCTCTTGTTCGAAAACTTCCGTGGCATTAATCCACTTAAAATTCTAGATATTTTTGCTTTTCTCTCCCAGGGTTCTCTCCCCCAGCAAGCCAGATTTGAAACCCTTCCAGCCGCCGCCCCTTAGGCTCGGCGGCAGCCCGACTCCCACCTTCTTCTAGCCCTCTTTCCCTCTCCCCTTTCCTTTTCCACCCTCTGAATATTCCCTCTTCCTCCTTGATAAACTCAAAATCCTATCCTATCTCAACCTTGGCAGTGGAGCTATGTAGGATAGAGCGAGATGTAGAAGAAGAAGCAAAAGCCTCGGGTGTATATTTTTTTCTTAATAAAATGATATTACCTTTGCAAAAGCAAGAGAGCTATTGCTCTTAAGGAGAAATTTTTAATTGTGACGGAAACCTAAGTAGTATATCATGTGTTTTAATAGGAGTGATGGGCAATTTTATTTTTTAAGTTATTAACTTTTTAGTACACATATCCCACCATTTGTATAGTGACATGTGGTGTACCACTCCATGTACCGGTCACACTGAAAAATCTCTCATATTTAAGCCTTCAGCACACAAAAAGTGCGAGCTGGACAATCCACTAAGACCATCTTCAAAGAAGATGTCAAATTTTAAATAAAAATTTTAAATTTGATAGCTTATATCGCACTTTGACATTTTAAAATTTTTTTTTTCTCCACCCGACATGTGAAATTAAATTATTATTTTATTACATTATTTTCTTTTCTTTATTTTTGTTTTATATATATATATATGGGTATTTTTATTAGCACCTCACATATTGTTAAATACACCTCACATAAAAATTTATTATTAAATGACATATACTTCTATATGAAATGACTATCTAGCCCACGAAAACCAAATTAGTTAAAGTAGTAGAACAATCAAATTAGTTGAGCCAATAAATTTCAAGAAACAAGTTGCCAGGAGCTCGTTGAATTCAAGTGGTTTAGCAGGCGGAGCAAACATGAAGTTTAACATTGTGAATCCCACCATTAGGTGCCAGAAGAAGCTTGAGATCGACGACGACACCAAACTACGTGAATTATGGGACAAGAGGATCTCTCAAGAAGTCAATGGTGATGCATTGAGCGATGACGTTAGGAGGTATGTCAAAACCTACCGCAGAACATTCACAAACAAAAAAATAAAAAAATAAAATAAATTTCAGCTTTAAAAAGTAATACTTTCACAATAATTCGAATCAAAACCAATCCATGGTACAACCCTTTGGAACGTTTGATGTTTGCTTTTAATTTGGGTCTTAGAGATATTGTTCTCGAGCTCAACGCGAAGGGAGTGGTGGTGGCTGATATTACATCTATGGAGGATTGTCTGGGTCCAGAGGGTTACCATGGAGAATATACAAATGTTGGGAAAAAGTTTTGAATTTTTTTTTGTCAATGGAAGAACAGAGCTTGTTGTGGCTCATGAACTAGCTCAGTATGCAGTTCGTGCTAATGATTTTAAATCTGGTATTGAAAAGGAGCCTAGTTGGCTCTCTCCTCTTGTACTGTTTTTTCATTCCTCATGTTAATGAAAGTCATATTTTCATAAAAAAAATGAAATAAAAATCTATAAACATAACTAAATGTGCAAAAAATTGATTGAAGACTAAACCCGCTAAATGTGCAGAAAACTGAATAGAGAATACAAAAAGAAATCTTAAATTTCACAAAGAGTGTGGGTGTAAGGGTAGTATTGAAAAGTATGTGAGGTGTATTAAGTATATGAGGTGTAGTCAACAAAATGCGAGGTGTGTACAAAACAACCCTATATATATATATTGGTGAAGATCTGTTTTATATTTTAAAGAAACATTAAATTAATAGAAAAATAGTAGTTTGAAGCAAAAGGAACACCTTCTGCAGAAATAATAGCAACATGGCCTTCTGCTTCAGTGGGCATTTCACCGGAGCAAATCTTGAGCAAAAACTCTTCAAGTTTTTGTGCAAGATCAACTTCCCAATTGGATTCTAGGTCACGCTCTGGTTGCACTCTATGAAATCCGCCTCCACTACTGTCGTTGCTTCCACCCGGATACTCTTCGAGTTTTTGTGAAAGATTGAGTTCCCAATTGGATTTTAGGTCACACTCTGCTTGCACTCTATGAAATCCGCCTCTACCATCGCCGATGTTGCTTTCACCTGATTCGTCTCTGGCATAAGTCATCTTCTGTGAGTTGGATTATGCATTGGCGCATTGTGGAGGTGTTGGATTCACATTTGGTGGAGACTAGGGTTTTTCAATTTGGGGGTTTTCGAAAGTGATGATTTTTTAGTCGAAATTGGTCCACATAGTGTGTGATAGATGGAAAATCAAAGATTTTCTTTGTAATTGCAATTCGTGAGCTTGGTCTTGGTTCAACAGGAAGATGGGTAGATCGAGAGAGGGCAAAAAAAAATTAATAAGTAATTAATTAAAAATTATTTGAAGCTACCGTCAAATTTGACATCAACCTTTCCTGCTGCCTTTCCATGTCATGCCATGTAGGATTTGACATTTCGGTTGGAAAATTATAGTGCTGTTTTTTGTTACTATTATTGATGATGTGGACATTTTAACATCTCATTTGAAGATGCTCTAATAGCTAACCACTGAAAAAAAAATAGTTATAACATAAATTTAAACTTCTAAACTCAGTGATTAAGCTGCTATTTAGTACTACAATTTGGTAAGCATTTGTCTTCATTTATAAATGAGAGATCGTAGGTTCGATTCTTGCCAAAGACGAATTTGAACCACATTATTGCTAGTCCATTGTAAGACCAAGCCCGCCCCCTCTCCCTTAATGTGGATAATATTGTTTGTTCAAAAAAATAAAATAAAACCTCAGTGATTAAGCTGAAAAAAAACCCCACAATTAACAGATTTTATCACTCCATCCTTCCCACTCAAAAGTTTAGTTTCTGCTGTCTTTCTCTCTTTTGGCCTTTTGTTTTGGCTTTCCTTAAGCTTTGTCCCTTGAACTTTGTCTCAATTTCCTTGAGCTTGCTCTGTTGCTACTTTCCTTTACACGTCCTCAACCACCGATCTCCGCTACTCGACCTGTGTGCCTCCCCTCAAGTGTTAGGTGGTTGTTAAAGTGTGCTTAGTACTATTTGGTAGGATTATATGAGCGCTCACTGCCGGTTTCTATTGATCCAATTGTTTTGTTAGTTGTTTCGTTGTTTCGTTGGTTCGTTTCTTGTCCAACCATTCACCGTCAAAGTAAATCAAAATCCAAAAGTCACGTGCCATTACAATTAGGATTAAACAAAAGAAACTTTAACAAAAAATTCCTTATATTGTTTACTTTAACAAAAAATCACATTTTTACATTAAAAAAATCAATTATGATATTATTCACTTTACTCTTTATTTTATCTTTATTAAAATTCAAAAATTTTAAACCCTTTTCGTTAATTTTCTTTAAACAAAACCAGGCTAGACAAGAAGAAGCCAGAAGAGTGTTCAAACAGCCAAGGGTTGGTAATCAACTTCTGGTTTGTTAAACACGATAAAATGCTTCATCAATGCACAAAGTTAAACACGATTAAGACAGACCCAAATCCAAATTAGCAACAAAAAAACAGGAACACAAACGAATCAAAAACCTTAAAAACAAAAAAAAAATTAAGGATTGAAATGAGCTCAGACACATCCCTTAATAATCAGCTTCTGGTTCTACTAATTACCAGATCAGAACTACAGCCAAGGGTTTGTTTCATCGTCATTGCTCAATCATTTTCAAATTTCATACAAAAAACATTATTAAAAAAAAAGAATAATAATAATAATAATTTGTACCAGGAGACAGGTAACACGGTGCAAAAGCAAAAAGCAGACACGGTGCTGTTTAGTGCTGGTAATTCTTAATTTTAATCTACGCTCCGGAAACTAGAACATCCCCAACACAATCGAAATTTACAGGGCGTTCACCATATGAAGCAACTACGACAATTTCGAAGAAAACACCGACAGTGATTTGTAAGACAACGTCTCGACTCCGGCCCAAAACCAGACAACAACCTACGACCATTTCGAAAAATGCGTAGCTGTTTTTGATGAATTTGGGATGGAAACCGAAGCTGATTTACGCTTCCGTTGACACGTCCTTCTGGAATTACAAAGCAGCCGATGAACGTAACGCCTATCAGAAGCGACCCCCAAACCCTAAATTAGAATACTTGTAAGTGCTAGTCGGAGTAAAAAAATGGAGTTGCAAACCGAGAGGAGCGGCGGCTACCGAAGTTAGGGTTGGGGGATGGCAGGGACGCGGGTTTATATCGAAGAGTGCGGCGGGTTGGACGTACACCAGAAACCCTTGGTTTTTGTGGTATAACGATAATGCCATTAGGGCCGCGGAAGGAAGCTTTTGTAGTTTGCGGGTCTGGGCTTAGTTGTAGTCTTGGTTGGGTTGGGCCTGAGCCCGTTTGTTTAAGATCCAGGCTTCAATCGCGCAACTTTGTGAGGAACTCAAGCAAGAAGAAATAAAAACGAAAGTATAAAAAAATGCCCCCATGCAGGATCGAACTACAGACCTTCAGTTTACAAGACTGACGCTCTACCACTGAGCTATAGGGGCTTCTTGATACAATTCTCGAAAATTTCATATAATTAATCCTGCTTACACCTTCAGAGCCCACTTGGTTTTTCTTTTTTTTTTTTTTATTTTAATTTTTGTTTTTAATTTTTTATCAAGAGCCCACTTAGTTTTGAAGTAAGAGGCTTAGCTTTTGGGTCCCTGAATTATGAATTATCGGCAGGGACAAGCACAAGCACTAGTTCTACATTGATCAACTTTTAAGCTGATATATAAATATAAGGGTTTTTATCATAAATAGTGTTTGAAATTGACACATTCTATGAAGATAGTCCAAACAATTGAAAATCAATCAATCTAGTCCTTGAAAATGGATGCTGCAAATCAATATGGTCATTCCGTTACTATTCTGTCAAAAAATCTATTATATGCTGATGTGACACTATATAGATTAAAAATGCTTAAATAATAAAAAACAATTTTTTAAATAAAATTAAAAACGAAAAAACAAGAAGTTGAACAGAGTGCGGTAACAAAACCCACACAAGAACTTTGACCAAAAAAATAAAAAAATAAAATAAAAAACCCAACACATAAACCAATTAATTAATTTTAATCCCATAGTTACCACTACGGAAAACCCTTATCCTGCTCCAGCTTCTCCATTGTTGGAGCCTGCAAGCTAATCTCCACATCAATGCTCCTCCTGCCGCGCTTCCCCCGGTACAAATACACCATCCCGTCGAGCTGATTGTTCGACCCGCTTCTCATCCCCTTGGGTTTTCCCCATCCAAAATCCACCTCATAGACCTGGAATCTTGGCCAACTCCCCACCGCCACACATTTCACTTCCGCGTCCTTCAACTCGAAAAGCTTCTGCGAGCTCTTCCACTTCGTGTTCCTCTAATCGATCCTTTCGCATTGTGCCCCTCGATTGCCTTCTGGATGATCGATTCTTTCGCGTTTTTAATTATATTAAAATAAATTTTGTTTTTTATTATTTAAATACTTTTAATTTATGTGATAAATATTTAATTATATTTGTGAAACCCAATTATGCGCTACCTCAGTACATAACAGATTTTTTTACGAAATGGTAATAAAAGAACCACATTAATTGACGACACTCATTTTTTCAGACTATATTTATTGATTTTCAATTTTAAAGTTGCGATAAAAATCCTAAATATAATTGTTAGTGACACTTGTGGGCCAATCACTTTTACAGCTAATTGAAATTTGTCACTCGGACTCGGACGTCTGTCCGTTTCAGACATGTCAAATTCTAAAGTTGCGTGCCATTGCATTTGATTTGAGTATAAAATTCCATGGCTTTTCGTTATTTTCTGGTCAACTCTGAAGAAACTGAAACAAAAGCGCAAAACAACCAGGAGTACAGAAATGTGAAATCCATGCCCACCCACCCCACTCGGCCGTCTATGTTCTAACCAGCAAAAGTCTTCTGCCTATGTTTGGCCGACCCTAGAATATTCTTGGCTCGGATGTTTAAACCTTAATCAACAAGAGCAACTTCCGTATTACAATAACGTCACTATACCGATATCTCAAGTTATCATACATTATTACGTAGAAAAATTAAAATACATAACAATATATAATTGTATCAATAACATTCACTATATATGTAAATTTCAGATGTCTGAAAATACTAGTTTGAACTTTGATCAATGTTTTAAGTTGTTGTGAAGTTGAGATTCTACAATAAAATTAAGGGTAAATTACATAGTAACTCCACATGTTTGAGATCTATTACAACCTCATACAACATCTTTAAAACATTTCACTTTCATACCCCACGTACTATTTTATTTCAAAATAATACATCCATTATATTTTTCATTCATTGATCTGTTAAATGCTGACGTGACTACCAAATGTGTGCCACGTGACAAAAATAATAATAATTATTATTATTTTTTTAAACTTGAATCTTCTAAAAATAAAAATAAAATTAAAATCCTTAGAAAACGCAGAACCCACCCCCACAACATCTCCCCCCCCTTCTTCTCCCTCCCAAGCCTTCCAACCTCCTCCCTTTCCTACACTCTCTTCACCTCCCCTCCCATCCAAAAACCCACCCCGCCCCCACCTTCCCGAGCCCTCTCTCCTCTTCACCCCCACCCCTTCCCCCCCCCCCCGACACCACCCTCGCACCCGCACCCACCCACCCTCTTCCCTCCTCTACACACCCCACTCCTTAAATCCACATTCATTCCTCCTATTTTCACCTCACGAACCCGGCAATGGCGGCGTAAACGGGTTATGGGTTTTTTTTTCTTTTTTTCTTTTTTCTAGGTTGCAGGTAGGGGGGTCGGGGGAAGAAGATGAAGATGGGGGAGAAGATAAGGGATGAGGAGGGGGAAAGACAAACTAAAGGGGTTTTTTTTTTTTTTTTTGGTGGGTTGCAAGGGGAAGAAGATGAAGATGGGGGAGAAGGGAGGGGAGGAAGAGGGGGAAGACGAACTGAAAGGGTTTTTTTTTTTGTGGGTTGTAGGGGGAAGAAGATGAAGATGGGGAGAAGAGAGGAGGAGGAGGGGGGGAAGACGAATTGAAGGGTTTTTTTTTTTTTCTGGGTTGCAAGGGTAAGAAGATGAAGATGGGGGAGAAGAGAGGAGCAGGGGGGAGGGAGGTGCGTCTACGTGGGTCGTGGGGGGATAAGGTTTCTGGGTTTGGGGGTTGCGGGGAGGTGTGTTTCAGCTTTTGTTTTTGGTTTTTTTATTTTTTATTTTTTTTATATAAATTTAGAAGATTCAAGTTTTTTTTTTTAATTATTATTTTTACCATGTGGCAGCCACATCAGCATTTAACGGATCAATGGATGAAAAATCTAACAGATGTATTATTTTGAAATAAAATAGTACGTGAGGTATGAAAGTGAAATATTTTAAAGATGTTGTATGGGGTTGTAATAGACCTCAAACCTGAGGGGTTACTATGTAATTTACCCTAAAATCAATTAGTAATATAAGAATTAGTCCAACCTCTTATAAGCATGTGCATAGTTGGTCCCTCACAGATGTGGGACTTTATCTTCACATTCTCACACACATCTTTGTGTGTGGCGAATTTTTAAGCCTAACACATGGACAACAAGCACGGGAGGTAAGGAGTGACATAGAACACGTGTGGTCGTTGAGTTTCACATGTGGAAGAATCTGCTCTCATACCGTGAAAAAAGTTGAGGCACCATATATTAAACTAATTGGCAATATGAAGAGTAGTAAGCAATGTGAGATTCATTCTCAACACGTCTCTAATGTGTGACGAATTTTCAAGACTAACACGTAAATAACATAATTTAAGTAATATGAAACACGTGTGAGAGTTGGACTTCATATTAAATGGATTGTTGTAGACAGCCATATACTATAGTTTCATCACATATGATATGAGAGAGGTTGGTTGAAACTCGAAAGAGACAGTGACCTTGTTTGCTTGCATGCAACAACTTTCAGAAAAACTGGGACATAAAGAATAATAAGGCCACTAGCTACTTGAATTGTTTGTGGATAAGAGTTTTAAAAGGAAAAGATTTTCTGATCATCTGCAGTGCCAATGCCATAGTGGAGAACAATGCTCCCATCATGTTTTTGGATTTCTTTCTTTCTTTCCAGTGTCCTGAAGAGGAGCACGTACGTCTACAATAACATTAATACATAAAATTTATAAAAAAAAATTATATATATGCGCAAACAACTGGTAGATATTTGATGGAACAGTAAGGAAAAGATAAAATGGATGAGATTTGTAGGCCAGCAAGTTGGCAACTTGAGCCAGAAAGTAGCTACATATATATATATTGTGATGCGAATTGGTCAATGACTCAAATGTAGAGGAATATTACTCATGGTGCATATCCTCACTTAACTACAAACAAAATAATATGATACAACGAATGACATCTTACACTCAAAGAGCTATTTCTTTTTGCATTTGTAAATTATAGTCTCACACGTTTTTCACATCGACAAAATGACAGAGAGAAAAAAAGTTTAAATAACTCCAACTATTGCCGAAGCTTTTTATGATAAAATTTCACATCAATCAGACTCTCCAGGTGGCACTTAACAAGTTGGAGACAACGGTGTCACTAAAAAGATATTTGATCTGTGTCTCTTTGATAATTTGACATGACTATGATGGCAACTCACAAAAATCACAATATATAAGAAAGCATACATGTTCTGTAGAGAGGTCAACGACTCAAACGCTAGTGAATTAGTAAGAGGCTTTCGATTCATACTGAATCCAAAAATGCGTTATTAATCACTAGGGTTTGTCTCCTGTCTGAAGGTAGCCATCGGTCGATAATAATTTAGAATGGTTGTCCTTCTTGTTGCAGATTAATCCACGCAATATGTTCAAGGAGGAAGATTTAATTAATTGAG